CAGGATTAAAAAATGAACCTGGTCCCTTATTTATAAGGGGTTTAATGACTTACTACCCAAGATAATGAGTTTCCTCAACAAACAAAAACTCTGATACTCCTCAATAATTGTCTAGGTATACACCAACTTTTATGAATATTTTTAACTAATACCGTGTATCACATAAATTAGCTCTAAACTTCCTTGGACCGGCCTATCCGAGCTAACCGCTCAGGCCGGTCCACCAAGTTATTCTTCGTGCTACATCATTTCTTATTATCAATTTTGCATATATAATATATCAAATTAATCATCTCTTGATGATCTTCGATTTAACATCCATATTGTATGTATAAAAAATAAATTATATTTATATTTATAACTATCATAAAATTATTTTTAAATATTAAAGAGAAAAATAAAATTTATCAATTAATATATTTATATTTTAAGTAGTTAAATGATATAAGTTATAAAAATACTATAATATAACACATGAAAGTCTCACAAGTAACAAACATCATTCTAAAATATATAATAATATATCATTTGTAAAAAAAATAAATAAAACTTAAAATAATTTTATCATTAATTTTAAAATTTAAAAATAATTTTTTAACAAATATGTGTTGTACTAGTATTACTTAATTTATAAAAATAAAAGGAATCTTCATTCCGACACGGAGTCAAACAATTAAAACGAATGCTTTAACACAGTGAGTTTGGGTATACGACGTAAGATTAACATGTGGGGCCCATGAGGTATCAGTCTAAGACAAAGCCCATGCTCGATTGACCAATCAGAGGCTTTCCCTCAGAAAAAAGGGGTCCCATTTGCAGCCATACGTTGAAATCGTTATCCTACAGAACGTATATGTGCCCGCCCGGGTAAAGCATAAAATTCTTACAAAGTAATCCACGTGTGTCCAAGTAATACCTTTTTTTTTTTTTTAATAGTATGTGTCGAGTATCTCTATATTAATTCAAAACGTGTTGATTTTAGGTGACAGATTCTTATGTTTTGAATGCTGACATGATGAAAATCTATGTTCCGTGATGTTTTTATATTATTTTTGTTATGGAGTATTAAACATAAATAACTTTACGCATATATTCATTAACTCAACACTCATATTGTACATGGGTATTAGTACTAGTATATATATTAAATAACTATAATTAAAATAAAACGGTCTAAGCAGTGATTTTTACTGTAAAATATATATATATATATATGTATATATATATATATTATAATTTTGTCCAATTTTCTAATAAATATACTAGAGCAGAAAAACTATAGTATTGTTTTTCTTTTTTTTTAATTACTTATAGTGGAAAATGTTACGGTCTCGTTACGGTATCATTTCGTCGAGTTTGTAACCGTTAGATTGTCACGTAACCGTCAGGAATAGTTGATCTAACGGTTACAAATCCCGACAGAATGATTCCGTAACGGACAGAAGCATATGATTCCGCAACGGGACCGTAACATTTTACTATGGTTATTTGTTATATATAACATACAACCCGTGAAAAGATGCAGCTTTAGACTATTCTTTAACAAAAGTCAGTCATATTATCACACACATACATATTGCCCCTAATCGTGTATATATATACCCATAGTAATAATCCAAAAGAGCCC